ATAAATAAATTTTTTTTTTCCCTTTTTCTTTTGTACTGGGGCTGGAACTTGGGCCCTTGCACTTGCAAAGCAGGTGACAGAACCACTGAGCCAAATCCCTAGCCCAGCTGTATGTATTTCTAATAAGTTCAAAGGTCATACAGCTAGTGCTGCCTAACATGGTTACGATTACCTGACAAATTATTCTCAAATCTAAGGCTAACATGGAGGCAAAAGGAAAGCCCTCAGAGAGAATGAGATACATAAAACTACACCACAAAAATATGCATATATGCATACTTCTTTTCAAGAGCTTTCAAGGTATTTTTCAAGGTGTCCGTGGCCCTTTGGCCTTTACCAAATCTCTATCTCTAGAAAGTAAGTCCACTTTCAACCCTTCTCAAATATCAAGATTGATATTTGAACTATTATAAAACGCTTGCAATATTGCAGTTGTTACTGTGTGAAACCCTGGCCAGTGGGCAGGAGTGGTGCCAGGATCGCACCAAAGGAAGATGACACTTGGTGTGACTACTAAAGACCCTTTGTGTATTCAAATCAGTAATGTCCAATTGACCGCATGCTGGCGGCATGGTAGAATATAACAGGGAGCATTTTCCTACAGGATTTCCTCTAAGCAGATGGCAAAGGTCAGATTTGGTGAAGTAGAAAAAAAAAATACGCTGGCCAATACAGTTCTCTTTTCTGGTCTTGCCAAAGCTAGATCTTTAAAATGAGTTAACAATGATTCTTAAGAAAACAACATTTAGCTGGGTATGGTGGCGCACACCTGTACTCCCAGCACTCGGAAGGCTGAGGCAGGAGGATTGCTGTGAGTTCAAGACCAGCCTGGACTACATTGTGAGTTCCAGGTCAGTCTCGACTACATAGTGAGACTCCTGTCTCAAAAAACAAACAAAAAAAATGTTTAGGGCTGGGGATTTAGCTCAGTGGTTCCAGAGCCTGCCTCGCAAACACAAGGACCCAAGTTTGATCCCTAGTAACAAAAAAAAAAACAAAACAAAACAATGTTTAATTGCCCATCACTTGGGAAACTGCTAAACCAACTCATTACTGTGAAAACAGATCAAGAAAAAGAAACAAACCCTTATTTTGCCTTGTCTATACAATGAGGACTGCCTGGAATCCAGAATTGAGGGAGAGCTGTTCTTTATATTCCCAAGAATGATGAAGAAATAGCAACATGAGAAGACCATTTTTCAGCCCACAATTCAATGGATCCATACAGTATGGGCATTGTGATAGAGGAAAAGCCAACTACTATGTGAAGGAAAAATGACAGAAACGAATAAAACTGGAATGAATTTTTTAATCCAATTAGCAATAAACTATAAATACTGAGAAAAAAATACACTAAACTAAACCAAAATGAACAAGTCAACGAAAACCAGATGCACTGACTGAAAAGGCTAGTTTAACAGACCTTTTACAAATGGGAAGGAGATCTACAGAAGGGGAGGGAAAGTAAAAAAAGATGTACAGCCAGGCTTGGTGACTCATGCCTGTAATCCCAGCACTCTGGAGCCTGAGGCAGCAGCATCACTGCCAGTTCAAGGCCAGTCTGGACTACATATTAAGACCCCCAACTACAAAAAAGAAAAGAAAAAGAAGAAAGGGCTGGGGATTTGGCTGAATGGTTCCACTGCCTGCCTCACAAGTGCAAGGGCCCGTTCGATCCCATGCCAAAAACAAAAAAGCTAGGTGTGGTGGGGCACACCTGCAATCCCAGCACTTGGGAGACTGAGGCAGGAGGATCACTGTGAGTTTGAGACCAGCCTGGGCTACACAGTGAGTTCTAGGTCAGTCTCAACTACATGTGAGACCCTGTATCAAAAAACAAAAACCAAAAAACAACAACAACAACAACAACAAAAAAAGAGAAAAGAAAAGACAAGACAAGACAAGACAAGAAAACCAGAAGCTAGGCACACAACTGTAATTCCAGAACTTGAGAGTTTGAGGCTACCCTGTGTTAGCTAGTGAGTTTAAATCCTGCCTGAACTGCACAGCAAAGGCACTCTGTGTTAAAAATTTGCATTAAAAAAAAATACAGCCAAAAAGGAAAAGGACTGGTTTATACAGAAAAAAACATACAGGAGAAAAATTAAACGTGTTAAAAGTCATAACCAATTTCAACACATGGGCTTACTTCTGCTCTGATTCAGATAAACTGAAATAATGAAATATATGAGACAGTCAGAAATTTGAACATGGGCAGATTCTGGTAAAATTGCTTTATTCTGAGGGGTCTCCCCCCTGACCCCTGGTACCGGGAATCAAACTCAGGACCTTGCACTTGAGGCAGGCACAGCACCTCTGAGCTAAATCCCCAGCCCATTTTGAGGTTTTTAATTAAAGTATAATGCAATAGGATATATCAAAACACAAAATACTTACTGATAAAGCATCCTGAATTCTTGTCAAAAATAATACAGAAGGGGGGAAGAATATGGTGGTACACAAAAACAAATCTTGTCATGGACAATGGGTAAATGGGTATATGGTAGTTTATTAATGCAGTCTGTGCTTTTTTATATATGCTAGAAACTTCCATAATAAATAGACTAGAACACTGAACTTTAAATTTTTTTGTTGTTGTTGTTTTGTTTTTTGAGACAGAGTCTTGCCTATGTAGCTGAGGCTGGCCCACCTCAAAATCACTATGTAGCCCAAGCTAGCCTCGAACTCAAGACAATCCTCCTGCCTCAGCCTACCCACTACTGAGATTACAGGTGTGTGCCACCACGCCTGGCACACACACACATATACATATATATATATCCATATGCTTAGCTTAAAAATCTGCAAATCATTTAAGAAGTGATTCACTCACTCATTTTTGTTATAACAGTCCATCACAGAAGCCCTCCCCATAACGCCATTAACACTCATTCCCAGATATTCTGCTCTTCAAAACACTTGAATAAAAACTCACATAATTCAGGAGAAGTTTTCAACCTTGTTTGAGTAGATAACAAAAAGCGCAACTTCTGTATCATAAGGTAAGAATGTTAACTTTTCAAATGCCAAACTATCTTCCAAAGTGGTTGTGCCATTTTTTATTTTCACCAGAAACGAATGACACTTCCTATTGCTCCATATCCACAAAAGTACTTGATGTTGTCAGTATTTTGGATTTGAGCCATTTAAATAAGCATACAGTGCTTTTCACACTGTTTTATTGTACAACTCACAAAAGTATACAATAATGAACTCTTCACATACTTATCATCTGTGTATCTTCTTTGGCTAGGTATTTCCTCAGCTCTTTTCTTCCATTTTAAAAACCAGGCTATTTGTTTTCCTATTGGTGAGTACTAAAAATTCTCTGTAGAGATTGGGATTGTGTACATAGCAGGCTAAATTCAATTCCTATCACCAAAACAAAAAGAGACTAAACAAGAATAATTCCTAGAGAGGCCAGGGATTTAGCTCAGTGGTTCTGTCGCCTGCCTTCTCCCAAGCACAAGGACCTGAGTTCAATCCCTGGTACC